CACTAGACCCGTTACTAGAGGATGTTTCCCTGGTTACCACCACCGCTGGTTTGATAATTGAATATCAATACGTATTCCGGTGTGAATGCACCAGTAGCCTACTGAGCATACCAAGGCGAGTATGCCCGCACTTCCCGTTCTCAACGTAGCAAACGCCGGCTTTCAGTCCCGTGCCTCAGTAGCTATGCCATTTAAATGCAGCGCCGGCGCACGTAAACCACACGACTTCTACCGACGCGCCCAAGAATCAGAAGAAGGAGTTTAGGTCGGGGTCCGTGTTATATACCTTTCTGGGCCTGGGCTGACGAACTCGTCATCTTCGCTGTCTTCCGCAACGGCGTTTTCCGCCGCCGGCTTGACCATACGGGGTATTCCCAAGTTTGGGCACCACGAACCGGCACCCCTTCCTTCGCCTCTCATGGCTTCTGGTTCAGCCCCAGCGTCTCTATCCGACCAGCGGGTATGTCCATGAGCCATGAATGCACGTGCCTGGATATTTGGTTTTGACGCTTTGTTCAAGGCGACTGATATGCACGCACATATTTAGCTAGTGATCGAAATCCTGGCCGCTATCGGGATTTTCTCGAACAATAGAAGACCTGCGGTACAGGGAATTCGGCACTTGACTTGTCATACATGGCGTGTGCTGTACTTTATGTGACCAAATATATATCTATTATTATTGCAGATGACATCAGTTTATACACTGACCCACCTCTTCTGTGGAAGGAATAAGTCGAGGTTTCTTTATGAAAAAGGTCATATAGAAGTTGTGAGATAAACATAACTCATCATTTTCAATTCAATCAACTCAATAAAATAAAAATAAATCATATTTTTTATTGTCTAACAAAATTCATGCATAAGGGTACTGGTTCAAAACAATAATGATACATTTAACAATTAAATTTAACATTTAAGAAATAAAATACAATTGTACTATGTACTTAAGGGAACATTCCGAACCTTTTTAATCATTGTTTTAAAATTGAAAGATCTTCATACTGGAACGTAACTTCGAAAAGCCGACCCCTTAATTGTGTTTCATGCCTGATACTGAACATGAATAAACATGTTAATATTGCTAAGATTTGTCATGAAACATTGAGCCATCTCGTGATTATTCCACCCACGAAATGCTCACCAATGAAATTTTAAAATTTAATCACTCCCATGCAATGAGAAGCATTTTACCTGAACAATTTTATCGTTAGCCCTTTTTTTGCTTTCATCTTATCGCCGCGACATGTCATGAAGTCCGATTGCTCTGATGTCTTCGAACCACGAATTCCTCGTGTTCAAAGTCGAAAAGTCCTTTTATCCAGAAGTCCTCGTAGCCACACGTTTTTTTATCCAGTAGTTTTCAAATCAATATTCACGCATACGCTATGGGATATAATACAATTGCTCATGACACATTTCTTGAGTCAATACGTTTTATGTTCTTTATTTTTCAGGTTACCCTGGAGTTCTAGAGTTTTTCGGTAGCATTCACAAACTTGACAACACTTTTCATAGATCAATGGACGTTAGCCATTTTTGAAGATGAATGATAAACTCTATCGGTGCAGCATACCTACCATCTCAGTGGCCCAATTCGATGAAAGAAAATTTGACGCGTTTGCATGAATGACTTGTTCCTTATTTAGGTTTCTTCAACGCTCATGGAAACTCTCAACCTCACCTCGTACGTGGGGTTAGGGCTGCGACCTTGTGACGTAATCTCCCCTACAGAAATCGTGGGGAGAATTAAATCACATGCTCGGAATTCCAGATTTACGGCGATGCTCACGTCGTCAGCGCAAATATGAATGCAGTTAGGAGATGGGTTGGAGGCTCTAAGCTGCCCGGGCTTTAGAACTTGTTATCTGGTGGGGCTATCGGCTTCGTCGAGGTTGATTTCGTTCGCTATTCATGGGCAATTGAGTTAGGGATTCCGGGGACATTGTGAGTGGTATTAATCGAGTAAGGTTCCATAGTGGAAAGTTGGTAGCTCTGAGTTGGCAGGGCTATTCCGCCCACGCTCAAGTGGGTAGTCGTCGCTTGCGGCGTATCCCGCTACCAGCCTCCGAAGCAGGCGAGGATAAGCCTACGGGGCAGCTGCTCCCATATGATATATACAATCAACACAAGCGACAGAATGGAATTCTGGCTGATAACATTCTTACGTTCATTTGCCGTTCTCCTTTATTCTTTGAACCTGCCGTATTTTCTGTGAGGATATTGTCAGTCCCCAGTTGCTCGTCCTCTTCGGCGCCGAGTTGTGCAGTTCTGTTTTGAGAGTCGTTAGCCGCATGTTGTAGGATTAGGGACTCAAAATTCGTGTCTCCTTTTTCGGAGGCCAAGATTAGCGGCGTCTTCTTCGCCGTATCTCTGGCGCTTGGATCTGCACCGTTTTTAAGAAGGATCTTTATTACCTCATGATTATTATGGTTGGTAGCGAAGTGTAGAGCAGTCCATGCGTCCGCATCGCATACTTTTACATCTGCACCGAAGTCTAGAAGAATCTGAACACATTGCGGGCAGTCATTTTCCACTGCCAACATTAGCGGAGTCATGTCTCTTTCATCTCTGGCGTTTGGATTGGCTCCGCGGCCGACGAGGAGCTTAATGATTTCTGGGTGGCCTCCTATGGCGCCATAGTGGAGAACGGTCCTTTTCAATTCGCATAGCGAGTGGACGTTGCCTCCCTTCTCCGAAAGAAGAATCACAGAGTTCAGGTCTCCGCTTTGGGCAGCTATCATCATCGGTGTCTTCTTCTCTTGGTTCTCGACATCCGGACTTGCGCCGCGTTCAATAAGCAGTTTGGTGACCGCATGGTGGCCGCCCTGCGTCGCGTAGTGCAGAGGCGTCATGTGGAAAAAGGTGCGCGCCTCTACGCTAGCGCCGTGTCGCAGCAGCAGCTGCGCGGAGTGTTGGCAGCCCTGCTCCGCCGCCTCCATGAGCGGCGTCTTCCCCTCGAAGTCCTGCGCGTCGACGGTGGCGCCGGCTGCCAGCAGCAGCTCCAGGAGGCCGTGACGGGCGGCGCTCGCCGCCAGATGGAGCGCGGAGCGCTGGTCCTCGTCGCGCGCGTTCACGTCGGCGCCATTTTGAAGCAGCAGCTCCACGGTTGTCGCGTCCCCTTCCTCCACCGCCAACATCAGATGGGTTCTGTTCTCACCGCACACGCAACCTGACTCTTCTTCTTCTGAGAGGATAAGTATGTTCAGTATTTGTTGATGACCTCCTCGGACTGCGTAATGCAGGGCATTTCTATTGCCGGTGCCGCGTACATGCGAGCAAGCTCCGTATTCCAACAGAACCTGCACCGAGGCGGCATCTCCCGCTTTTGCAGCCAGTATTAGCGGAGTTCTTTTGTCCTTGTCTCTGCAATGCACACTTGCGACGTCGCGCTTCACCAGCAGGTTTGTGATCTCGTAGAAGCCGCCCGAGGCGGCGTGGTGCAAGGCGGTTCTGTTGTCGCTGTCGCACACGCGCACGTCGGCCTGGTAGTACAACAGAAGGTCCACAGTGGCCGTTTTGCCCCGCACAGCAGCCGCCATCAGAGGCGTTCGTTTCCCGCAGTCCTTGGCGTTCAGATCCGCGCCGTTCATGATAAGCTCGCGGATGATCTCATCGTGGCCGCCCTCTGCAGCGAAGTGGAGGGCGGTTCTGTGGTTTACGTCCGACAAGTTCACGTCTATCCACATTTCCACCAGAAGCTGAACAATCTGCAGATGTCCTTCCCGAGATGCAATCATTAACGGCGTTTGATCCCATTTGTTCAGAGCATCTGGGTTCGCATTAAAGACGATAAGAATCTTGAAGATCTCGACATGACCCCCTAAAGTGGCGTGGTGCAATGCAGTTGAACTGTCAACATCGCACAGATGTACGTCAGCCCCGTGTTTTAAGAGATATCGCGTAGAAGATGGGTTGCCTCCTTTTGCCGCCAGCATCAACGGAGTTTTGTGGTGTTCGTCGATAGCATTCGGGTTCGCGTTGGATCCGATGAGGAGCTGCGTCGTGCGAAACCGTGCTCTCTCTGCCGCGTAGTGCAGTGCAGTCCTATTCCTTGTGTCAAATGCGTTCACATCCGCCCCTTGCTTCAGGAGGAGGCGTACGCAAGCTACATAGCCTCGTCTAGACGCTAGAATCAGAGGCGTCTGATTTGCGGTGTCTTTCGCATTAGGATCAGCGGCAAACTCAAAAAGGAGCTTCATGATTTGAAAATGGCCACCATCGGCGACGTAATGTAACGCAGTCCCGTTGTGTTTATCGCAAACGTGCAGGTTCGCCCCGTATTGCAGCAGAAGCCGCACAGATAGTGTATCCCCACATTCTGACGCTATCATCATTGATGTCGTCTTTTCCTCATCTGCAGCATCTGGATTTACACCTTTCTCGATCAGAAGTTTCATTATTTCCTTGTATCTACCCGCAGTCGCGAAGTGAAGGGCGGTGCAATTGTGCACATCGCAATTCTGTACGTCAGCCCCTTTTGAGAGAATAAGCTCCACAGAAGATAGATCTCCCCGCTGAGCCGCTAAGATGAGCGGGGTGGTGTTCTCTTGGTCTTTCGGATCCGCGTTGGCGCCGGCCTCGATGAGCAGCTGCATGACGGCGAAGTGTCCTTCCCGCGTGGCGAGGTGGAGCGCGGTTCTGCCCTTGGCGTCCCGCGCGTCCACCTCGGCGCCGTGGGCCAGTAGCAGGGCCACGGCGCTGTCGTTGCCCTCTCGGGCCGCCAGCATGAGGGCGGTGCTGCCCTCTTCGTCGGCGACGTTGGGGCTGGCGTCGCGCTGCAGCAGGAGCCGCACCGCCTCCCGCTCGCCCCTCCACGCGGCGCAGTGCAGCGCCGTCCGGTTGGCAGCGCTGGCCCGGTGCGCGTCGGCGCCTCGCTCCAGCAGCAGCAGGACGCCGCGCGCGCCGCCCGTCGCCGCCGCCGCCCGCGCCGCCCCAGCATTGACGGCGTGACGAGCTGGCGTCCGCGGCGTCGGTGGCGTGCGCCAGCAGCAGGCGCGTCACCTCGTGGTGGCCGCCCGCCGTGGCGAAGTGGAGGCCGCCGCCCGGCCGCGTTGCGGCCACCGGACCTCCGCCCCGTGTCCCAGCAGCAGCGAGACGGACGTCGCGTCGCCTCGCTCGCACGCCACCATCAGCGGCGTGGTCTGGCGCCGGTCCTCCGCCCCGGAGTCGGCGCCCTGCTCGACCAGCAGCCTCATCAATTCGTGGTGGCAGTTGTAGGTGGCGCAGTGCAGAGCTGACCTCCCCAACGCGTTGCGCAGGTGGATATTCGCTCCCTGCTCGAGAAGGAATTCCACAGAACTCAAATCGCTGTTTCGGGCTGCTATCATGAGCGGGGTCCCGTGGTTTTGGTCCACGACATCCACATCCGCGTCATGATCGACGAGGATTTTCATAATCTCCGAATGGCCGCTCTCCACCGCGTAGTGCAGGGCGGTTGTTCCCGCGGCGTTGCCCAATCGCACTGCAGCCATGTGATGCAGGAGGAACAGCACTGCATTCACGTGGCCGTTGTGAGCCGCTAGCATCAGAGGGGACACGCCCTCCCGGTCCTGCCAGTCGACGTCCGCGTTGTTGACGACGAGCAGGCTCATGACCTCGAGGTGCCCGCCTCGCGCTGCGTAGTGCAGCGCGGTCCTAAGCTGGCTGTCGCCCCGGTGGACGTCGGCGCCGTGCTGGAGGAGAAAGCGAACAGGCGCGACACAGCCCACCTCCGCCGCCAGCATGAGCAGGGACCTGCTGGCGTCGTCGCCGCCGCCGCCGTCTGGTTCCGCTTCGCTCTCCACGACGAGAGTGACGATCTCCAGGTGGCCGGCTGTCGCTGCGTGGTGGATAACGGTTTCGTTGGACGTGTCGCACATGCGGATGTCGGCCCCGTGTCGCAAAAGGTACGCCACGCACTGAACGTGCCCGTGTTGGGCTGCTAGCATTAGCGGGGTCCTGCTGAATTTGTCTGTGGAATTCGAGTCCGCGTTGCTCTCGACAAGCAGTTTGACGACGTCGACATGACCGCCGCTGGAGGCGATGTGGAGAGCTGTCTGTTTGTTCGCATCGTAGCGTCGCACATCTGCCCCGCATTCCAAGAGAAGGAGCACGGACTGCTCGTCCCCCTTGGCGCAAGCAATTGTCAGAGGGGTTTTCTTCGCTGCGTCTTTTGCATTTGGGTTGGCACCGTACTCGAGGAGAGATCTCATCACATTCAAATAGCCATTCATGGTGGCGTAGTGAAGAGCTGTTCTCTCGTGTCTGTCCACGAGATTCGCGTTTGCACCGTATTTCAGTAATCTCAGCACCGTCTGACCGTGTCCTCTTGCTGATGAAATTATCAGCAGGGTTTTTTTATTTTCCAATATAGAATTCACCTTGGCGCCTCTGTGAAGGAGATGCAGCATGACCTGAAAACAAATTTGGTTTTTTAAACTCTTATATTTATTGTAGCCATGTTATTTTGGGCCTATTATGGTTACGACTTTGTTTATATGGGAAAATGAAAAAATATACATCACAACGCTTGCCTTGCGGTCACTACATGTTTGCAGGCTTGTGCCTTGTACGCCTATGCTACCACCTTATTTTCCTGGGTCGGCTGGAGGCTCCATAAGGCTGCGGACTTTCAAAATGAAAGAATATACTACCTACCATTTCAACAGTACACCAATTTCAAATAGGGAAATTTAAAAATAATAGAACATTTTATATTAACTTTTTCTTCAAGGCCACATAGAAAACTACGGTAATAAATATTTGTACTGACATAATCCGATTAGTTAGTTCCCCTTTTGAGTTGAGAGTACCTCTTTGATTAGGTCCAACCCCCATCCTGGCCAACATCTATCCACAACTTCAGGATCTACCAGGACCGCACGTTATAACTACTCCCTGGGGGCAATTATCACTAAAGCGCCCCCTCGTATTCCTCTTACATAATCCCGAGGCCCACATCGCTCTTGTGCCATTAAATTTGTGGCCGTGGTAGCCGTGAGCTCACCGCAGTGACTGTTCAAATTATTCTCGGAAAAGTTAGCCTGTTACTGACCTCTGCGCAGTTTGTTTCCAGAACTTACAGTCACCAGTCCAAACAAGGGCTCATTTAAACTCGTATGATATAGAAGTGATTCACTATGTACTAGGAAATGCTATTTATTTATGTAACCATAGCTTTTTTTAATTTTTCATATCAACTAGAACATTGTATTCAATTAGGTTTTACTAACACGAAAAGAATATTTTGACACAAAAAACATGATTCGAGTACAACTGTTTTTTAACGATTGTTTTGCTAACGATTGCTTTTAACGATTGTTTTCCTTCAGGGTTTTTTCCCGACCCGTACCTTATGGTCTCTTTTCCGCGGCTTTGATGCGATGGAGAGACCATTTGGGGTGAATACCAGAATTCGAAAGATTAGAACGCGAAAGGATGTAGGTATTGTAATGGCTTAAAGGCCTTCGGCCTAGCCACATAGGATCAAGTAAGCTAATTTGATTGTAATAATTACCTATTAAATAAATAAATAATTCATCATCTTTTACGTTTTTTATAATATTTTTGGCTTCAATTATTCTTCTTGACTTCATTTTCTGAACTCCCATTACGTTGTATTGTAATAAAAAAATGCAAGAGACCAAAGAATGACATAATTTACTTGTTTTATATTACCTTTTTTCTATGGAGACAGAATGTACTCATGAAATACATAAAAGTGTAAGCCATATCAAAAAATTTTCGTAACATAGTTACTTATTAGGTATCATTCAGTGTGTTCAAATTCATAATCAATTTTTTTCATCACTAAGCAAAAATCAGGATTGACGGGTACATAAGTTACATGCTCAACAGTTTGAGTTGTTCATGTGAACTGGTTTTGATCAAATTTTTAACTTAGTTTTTCTTTCCTTTTAGGGTATTTTAAAAAGCTGTAGCTAATGTCATACTTTACTTTCTAGCTAGCATTTACGCAGTAGACAGAAAGTTATATAATGCTGCGCGAAAAAACGCCAAATTTTCGGCAGAAAACCCTTCTTACAAACTCGTATTACACACTGTTAAAAAGGGGATAAATCCAGTTGCTAAATTTAGAAAAAACCCTCTAACACATACCGTAGCCAGAATTCATGTTTTACGGATCCTTGATACCGAAAAATCAATTGATAACAAAACATCTGTCTGTCGTCTGCCTGTGTACAACACTAGCGGCTAAACCGTTCAGCAACTTTTCTCCAGAATTGATGTTGTCCAATCGATTTGGCTGATGTCGCGGCCCCTTGAATTTGCGACCGATATTTTAATTTTGGGAGGTAATTGAAATGAAGCCTATTGGACATTTTCAAACATCCATTTTTAAAGAAAATGGATCCATTGTTTTGATTAAATTTTGTCGTTGGATAGAGAGAAAAACGTTTAAGAGAATGGTGCAGGTCTCATTTTCGTTGATTTTTCGAAAATTGCAAATATTCAAAATGTTTTCGTCGTCTTCCTAAAATAATTACTTTACTAAACAGTTATGGAGATATAGATTTTTTCCTTTAATGAAATATTCCCCTTAAAGATAGATTTTGAAATAACGTCATGTACAAATTTTGCACTTTTTGTGTAGTTTTGCGTGAAAGCAGGGCGAGAAAGAACATGCTGTTTTAGCACCATTCGTTTTGTGTACGCATGTTGAAGAGCTTACTTTTGCCAAATCAAACTTCGCAGCCTTCAGAATCGCTTCATGGGCGTCGAGGAGCACGAGGTCGTGCGCCCTGGCGCCCGCCTGCAGCAGTCGCTCCGCCGCCTCGAGGTGGCCGCAGGCACTGGCGTAGCGCAGCGCCGTCCAGCCCAGCAGCGCGTCCCTGCGCCCGGGGTCGCAGCCCTTGACGAGCAGCGCGCCCACGGCGTCGGCGCGGCCCAGCGACGCCGCCTGCACCAGCGCCGTGCGGCCGAAGCGGTCGCTCTCGTCGGGGTCGCCTCCAGCCTCCAGCGCCGCCTCCAGCGCGCCCTCGCTGCCCTCCAGCGCGGCCCGGTGCAGCGGAAGCCCGTCCGACAGCATGTGCTCCAGGATCTGGCGCAGCCCTGGCCACGCATCCTGAGAGACGAGGGTTTCCCAAACCTTCAGTAATATTTCGTTCACTCTGTACGCCGAGATCATCCAACTGGCAACGAAATATTCCACGTATGTGTAATGGGCGAAGTAAGGCTTTCCATTTTCTCCTAGCCATATGATTCCATTTTTCTCTTTCATGAGGCTTTCTCGGTTTCTCTCCAAGTAGTAACTAAAAATGTCCGAATTAACGCTGGAAAAACCACCATCGGAGACCTGAAAAAAGTATTTTTGCTATTAGATAGTTTTGAAATAAATAGCCGTGAAATATAAAACTTATATATTACATTTATAAAAAAATAACTGTAGTGGACATATGACGCACTTTAAAATATATTATAATAACAACGATAACAACAACAACAATAACAATAATAACAACAATAATAATTTTTTGAAGAACTGTTGTTGGTAGTAAGGGTCTCCAGGGATCTATAGCTCTAGGCCCCTTGTTTTCTCTGGCCGGCCCTGCGGAAATGGGTTCTCTCTTGGGTCAATTACGCACGCTCCAAGCTCACACCTGTCCAAACGGTCAATTCTCATGGTCTGAAAGAGAGCCTGCAAAGCAAGTTTGTACAGCTAGGAATCGTAATTATGATTGGTTAAGTGGAAAGCGTCACGTTACACTAGGGCCCAAAGTGAAGGGAGAACCGAGGTAGGGTGTTGTTTTTTTTGTTGTTTTTTTTGTTTTTGTTTTTTGTTTTTTTGACAGAAGAAGCAAAGAGCTTCATTCCATTTTCATTCGATTCCTGATTCTGGTTTTACATTCCATTTGTGATTTTATTCTATTCAGATTCTTAGTAAATGTTCTGACTTTAAAATCTGAACCTGACTCTGATGCTGGATGTGCAGTAAATTACAATTCTGACATTATACGGTCTTCATCGTATCAGGTTTAAACTCTCGAGTTGTGACTACCCGTGAACAGCCTGGTCGAAGTCGACTGTTATATGAACTTGTGACATTGTAATTGAACTTGTATTACCTAACGTGATTGTGTCTCACACGCACGAGCAACCTTTTACATAAACGACGACTCAAATTACGTCAGCATGCGCTTTACGCCGTGAATACCTCGGGAAAGTGCCATGGGATATTTCTAATACAGTATTAGTAAAAAAAATTAAAAGATATTTCTGTTAGCTCACCAACACAAGCATGGCACAATTCTGATGTATCTCGTCAAAGTTGTCGACGAGGGAGATGTTCTCGAAGTTGGCGTCGTTGAGCCCAAAACGCTGCCTGAACATCTCCCGCTTCAGTTCCACGAAGCGCCGGTAGAGGTCGCAGCGGGAGACGCCGCTCTCGGGCAGCAGGCGGCCGCCGGAGCTCAGCGCATGCGCGGCCTGAGCCTCGTACGCCTGCGCCGCCATCAGCGCGTGCAGCGGCACGTCGAGGAGGCTGCGCTGGCCGCGCCCGGCCTCGTCCGCGCCGAACGCCTCCACCATCTCGCGGGCCAGACGCTCGAAGTCGGCCGGCGGGCGGTCGCCTACCGCCGCCCATTGGACGCACAGGAACTGCGTCTGCTCCTCGGGGGAGAAGGGGCGCAGCGATGACGTCTCGCAGCGCAACGTCTGGCTCAGAGCGACGTGGGCCTGGGCAAACAGGAGGCGGCGACGGTTCAACTCCGATCGAAGCAGTGAAACTTCCTTCGGAGGGGAAGTAAAGCCGACTGTCCCATGTAGTAGTAGTTACTGCATGTGAAAGATCCTGACGCCTAAAAGAAGCCTTTGAGATAAATTCAAATCGCCTGTCTCGCCACCCGAGTAAAACCTCTGGTGGGCTAAACGAGCGACGGAAGAGCATAACGCCAACTGCAATAAGGCATCAATTCAAACAACGTTAAAGCCCAACAAAAACCTTTCTACTTCACCCCAACGATTGTCTTTAAGGCTCCCACAGACCGGCGCAGAAAACCTGCAGCATACGCGAAATGGTCGCAGTGGAAATTTCGCGTCACGTGTACACTTATGAGCACGTGCTGTGCAGATTGATCCGCGTTTTCTCACCTGCGGATTTTGAAACGCAGTTCCACCCGTTTTCGACCGCTACCGCTCGAGTTTCGTGGAGGTCCCCCCGCGTTTGCGAGTCTTCGCTCCCCTCTGGATCGAGTTCCCTGGCTTTCCATTATCGGATGAGGAAAACTATCACCAAACGGTTAGTCACTATTCACGCTGCGGTGTGAACGGTCCCGCGCATTTCGTGGTCGCGTCTGGCGGGGAACTTTCCACACCCCACCCATTGCAGAGTTGCAGCGCCGATCTGTGTGCATTTACTCACATATTACGTACCCCTGGTCGGGAAGCAATCCACAAGAGTTGCACTTGCGATGCGACAAGTAACTTGAAGAGGGCGAGCAGTTTGTCCTTGAAGGAAGGGCAGACTTCGTCCACGCCGTCCACGAACACCGCTATCTCCCCAGAGTCCT